GGTAGTAGTAGCTTCTGGTGTGTCCTTTGGTTCAGTAATCCATTTGGCTTTTTTATATTCGAAGGTCTTATTGCGGTATGCAATTTCTGTGAGTTCGTTATCAACTTGTTGGTCGATACTCATTTCGCCAGCTGATAGAATGTTGGTTGTAGTGACGATACTGGATGGTCCAGCTGGAGTTTCAGGTGTAAAAACCGACCTGCCAGTCATGGTTTTCTTCTGTGAAGGTTCGTCTTTGTTTTTTGTTGGCGACTCTGGGCGAGTTCGCAAGTTGCGGGTTACTTTTTGTGTAAAATTTTGGTTTTTTTCTTTTCCCATTATTTTTTGGTCTGGAGTGGAAGGGGAAAGAGTTTTTTATATGCAGTGATAACCAATTGTTCTAACTTTTCTGATTACTCAGTAAATCTTTGTGATCAGAATTAGATGGAACAAACAGTTGGTCCGGTAGGAATTAGCCTTGCTAGCAAAGAGTATTAGGAAGCAGTTTTATTTTTTATATTTGTACCTGTTTTGGGATTTTCATGTATTTATTTACTGAAATTGATCTATATAATAAAATATTGCATCACTACGTCTAAAAAAAACAGATTCAAATTATATGAAAATTTATAAAATATATTTGAGATTTTATCTATGACATAAAATTTTGGTGTAGTTTGAATTAGTGAATATTGAGCAATTCGATGTAGAATATGGCGTTTGGATACTCTTGATAACTCTCTATAGATATCTACAGCATATATAGATGGATCAATGGTCAAGATATTACTTGATTTGTGATAATATAAAAAGAGCACAGAATCCCACGTGAGAGGTAATAGACGCAGCATTTTCGCATATGCTCAAAGTCTGAAAAAAATATTTCGAGATTTTGATACAGGCAAATGATATTTTCCTTATTTACCCTTCTTTACGTCATGCATATTATAATCACATACAAAAAATTCTCATTCTCCACAATTTCTTCCCGAAATCCTCGAGTAAGCGTGTTATAATAGAGGGTTATTGCCATGAAAAAAATCCCGTCTTCTCCCATGTTTGAAAAAAATATCAGTTTAAGTAATCTTTTTTTAGATATGTTAACATTACCACTGTTTTCGAGAAAGCAGGTCATTAGGGATGGACCGGTTAATGGGACCGGTCCCATTTCTAAAGATCGGTCCGGACCGGTTTAGAACATATTTGATAATGATGATAAAACAATTCATAATTGCATACATAGAATTAACAAAGCGGTTACTGCGTCTTCTTGATCTCGTTATCCATTTCGGACGTTATCATTCAGTAAAATATCGTAAATGTTAATAATATATGCCATAAGTTGTAAAAAAACGACACAAGGACTGACTTATAGACCGGTCCGAATGAAAGACCGGTCTTTTTGAACCGATCAAACCCTTCCTCCGATTAACTTTTTGATATGGATAACGGACAATTAATAATATTTTTGATCGTTAAAGAGCATGCGCATTAATGCAGGGTTGAATTGTTCAAACAGGTTTATAAAACTTCCAAATACCAAACTTTCAGGGATATATATCAACGTCCAAAATGACAGAACTGGGAAATACCATGACGATTGGTACTGACGTTACTCCTGGATACATACTACATTAAGTTTTATGCAACACCAATAAAATTATTTTTGTGGCGTAAAAATATAAATAAAGATATAAATATTGATTTCAACAAATGACACAGTGATTTTTTTATTATTTAATGGCAAATTTATAAGAAAAAGAACAATATTATTTAAGAAAATGGGGGTCATTAATTAATTTATAAAATGTTGACTTTTTATAAGCGATCTCATTATAAATATAAAACAAAAAAAAAGTTCAAAAACAAAACCAAAATTGTACATAAATACATGTATAGTTGAACTAATAAAAAATGTTAAATATGATTCTTAAACGTTTTCTAAAGAACTATAACTTGAAGGTCTATTATTATACCATCTAGTATCATTTAAACCAAAAATTTCTCTCATTTTACGACCATAAATAACAGTTTGAAATACAATCACAAAATCTACACTTAATTGTACGATACCACAGAGAATAAATTGAAGTGGTGCATGTGTATAAATATAATAAAACGTTTTAAATGAGTCACCACCCACCCACGTTAAAATGATCCATTTACTTTATTTAAAAAGTTAAAAAAAAAAAAAAGAATGTTAAGAGTGTGAAAGAAGATAAAATTGAATTGAAAAGGAAAAAAAAAAAAAAAAAAAAAGATTATTATATTACCTGAATCCTGACACAGAATGTCTTTTAAAATTTTTATAGGCTTGAGGCATTGGCACAGTGCTTTCAATCCCGAGTGACTTTATAGATCAAACAAAAATTTTTAGAATCAGACTGGAAAATTTTAGCTTTGCTTTAAATATCATATATTTACCAAATAACCCAAAGTTTCAATGAACCATTCTTGTTCATAAAATATTAGTTGAAAAATTCCTAACATTCCAATTAAAGCAATTAGAAAAATCAAATAAGATTTATATGTATACCAATTCCAAAACCATCGTCGGTTTGAAGTTGGTAAAATTGGATATCTAAATTTGAGGCACTCATATAATAGAATAAGCTGAACTGATATCATCAAAAGACTTTGATAAAGAAGTACCGTGTCAAACTTTTTCCCAATCCTAGTTCGAAAATAAAACAGATATTTCTTTAAATGATGAAAAAATAATAAAAATAATTTTAATCTAATAACATTCAGAAACCCCCGACTTACCAAAAGTAAACGCGAATAATACTGCTAACTAACAATATTCCTGTGGTGTCTAAGGAGTATCCTGAACTTGACTTTGTCTCCCGAAATTTTTTAATTTGGTCAAAGTATCCTAATACAGGACCAATGACCATAGATATTCCGAGTAATATATTAAATATATTAACAAGTTCTTCGGACATTTTGAAAAAAGTAAAGAGGGATGAGGGTAAAAAAAAAAAAAGGGTAACACTTAAAATCAATATAAATTTGAGTGTATGATGATATAACCTGTATGTATTTTATGCATCAAATTATTTGAAATTGTGTATTCACGTGAATTCATTAGGTCGTACCGACTTATGCCACCATTTCATAGAATATTATCACGTCGTGCGTATTGCCCTTATTAATGAAATTTGAGTGATGATGGTTCTAGTGCAGTTATGGTAATTTTTGAAAGTTATATTACCTGAATTAGTATCTCTTAGGTCCGAAAAATGTTATTCGCAATTTATAACGTGCTAGGACCCTGAATAAGAAAAATCTACCTGCATATAAAAATGTCAATCGATCATGTTCCGGTGATCGCTGACAACCTTTTTCGTTAAAACTTAAAAAAAAGAAACCCGACCAACTCAATTCCCATTTCACCTGTAAAAAATGTATTCTTTACCTACGATAGAAACTATTCATGCCTGGCGCCAAAGTGATGTTATGAAGTTTATACAACGCGTAGAGCGTTTACATTTGGTAGACAAAAACTATCACATAATTGAAAAACTTAACTTGACCCCAGTCCGCCTTTTAAAGCTGACTGATGAAAAATTGGACTCTTGGGTCGTCTTGAAGTTTATTCACGGAACTCAGAGTGATATTCTTGAAAATGTGCGAGATAAGCTTACAAGTATGTTTTACCAGCCTTTTTTTTTTTCGTGTTGTGATCACGTAAAACGCGTCATGTTAATAACCTTTCCTTATTCCAAAAATAGAGGCTCTTATTGCTTATGGTAAAAATTGAAAGCTGAAAACCATTTGATCATCTTTATTTATCTATTTTACTTATTCTTCATTCGTTTGTACGTGTTTTGACAGTTGAAAATTTAATGCAACAGCCTCAAGCGAATTGGTTTTATGGACCAGTATTGGAAAGGTTGAATCAAGATATCGCGTTTGGCATTGATATAACAGAACAATATAGCTTAAATAATTTACTTCCATACCTTAAAACTGGTATGTAAGTTTCAAACGTTTCGTCGTTTTTAGTTTATCGGGTGATTCATGCTTGTTCATTACCGTTTTCCTAGAACTTAAAAAACCGTTCACTCCAACGATTCCACGAGTTCCAAGCAATATTTCGGTTCAGATAAAACGTGAAGTATGTGTGATAAATCTAATTTTTTTATGATGCACGTGACTTTTGTACCTTGCTTTTTTTTTCCTGACGCATAAATATTATCTTGTTTAAAGCCATCAACTGATGTATCTCGTGAGAATTCTCCCGAGACACCACCCAAGGAACCTCCTAACGAAGAAAGGAATAAGGATTATAATAGGCTTATCGTTTTCCAAAGCAAGGATACTGGTGTTGGATTTTGTCTCAGGCACCATATTTGTAAATATATTGCTTATATTAAAGGACCTAAATTCAGTGAAGGTTCAATCAGGTATGTGAACTGGTTGATCTCTCTCATATGATAATCTTTCTGGATAGAATACAGGTATATTTAACAATGATTACTATAGTAAGCATGTATCGGCAGACATGGAAGAAATGCAATTCGCAAAATTTCCTGTAGAGCAAGAAGAAAGGGAATTCATCAAATATTGTCAAGTGTAAGTATATAACAGTCAAAATGAATTTCAATTTTTTTTTTTTTTTGTTCAAAAAAAATTAAAAAAATCTTTTGTCTCTTTCAGTGAAACATTTGGTATAAGACATTTGAATTCAGGACACGTAAAAATAAGTGCGAACAACGCTCTTGAACTTTTGAGAAAACATGGAATTAATCGAGTAAGTTGTGAAGTGTTCATGGAACAATTAGATGAAATTGTGGAAGACTAGGTAGCTTTATTGTATAATATAACTGTTTTAATAGTCTTTATCAAATCTTTAAATGTGAATATTTGTTATTATCTTCATTGTATTCTTTTTATTGTATCAACATTTTACATTTGATTTTGTATATTTGATTTGATGATTGAGACTTCCATATAACCTAATTAGTATTCATCACTTGACGTATTGTATAAGAGAATCAATCTATCTTACTACTTCTCTAGGAAAATGTTGGAGGTACCATGTGATTAGTATAACAAGTTCTACAACATTGCATTAGACATTACAGACATTCTCATTTAGAAAATTTCTGGCTGAATTTTTTTTCTGGTAACATAATCAATAAACACTCCTTATCTTTTTATAATACTCTTTTTGTAAATTGTGTAAAATCAATATAAACATTATCGAGTCAAGTGCTAATTAATTCTAACTTTAGCGATGGGTGAGAAAAAAAGAATCAAAGAAACGTGGTTTAGCAAAAAATATTTCCTAATTTGGAAATTTGGCTAATCAGAAGTTTCATCAACGCGCAGTAATTAATTACATTGTTAATCCGGTTTGGAACAAATTTTTGCCTAAATACCCTTTACAGTGACGGTTTTTTTTTTTTAAAAAAAAAAACCACTTCCAATCTAAGAAATATCTTTTCTAAACTGAACAATTGAATGATCCATTTACTATTTGATAAATACTCTCCTATCTAATCTTCTGTAATGTATATAATTCGTTTACATTATATATAAATAAATAGTCTGCTCATCCATTATTATATAAAAGATAACGACTTCAATATATTAACGGCATCATGGCCGTCTTAACATATCTCGAATTAAAGAAGCATAGTATCTCTCAATTATTTTATCGTCACGCGAAGTTTTGCGCAACTCACCAAGTTTACGTTATAGTTGCAGCAATTTTTTTAGTTTTACCTTTATGCTATCCTGCACTTAATGCATATTATCTAAATCCTCTTAGTGACGTTCCAACTTTTTACTGGGAATTACCTTCATCTCGTGTGCCAATCTCGAAATCTAGCTTCAAACAAAAATGCGGTACTCAACCTTCTTTACACGTAGAAAGTATTATAATTAAAACCGAAGGTTTTAGAGATAACAATTACCGTCGATCTACTACTGATGGTACAAATGTTTTGGAAAAAAATTTGTTTCTGTGGACACTTCAATTGCAAGAAAGGCTTTCAAATACTGTAGTAATATATCCACCGAATAAAACTTCACCACTTATTTCACGTCAAGAACCTGAAAAATACACCCTTTCTAGTTTATGCTTTAAACCAAACGGTGAAAGTCGTTGTTTAGTTCATTCGCCTATTGAATTTTGGAACTACGACGCAGAGTTACTTATGAATGATAAAGATATCTCAAAAACTCTTTCAGAAGCAAACGAAGTTTCTTCATTTAAGATACCTATTCCTTTGAAATCCGTTTTTGGCAACCCTGTATATGATAAATTAACTGGAAAGATTGTTAGTGCGGATTCAATTATTTTAACTTACTATTTAGATGGTATGGGCGAATGTGCTGAAGATCAAACTTTAGCTATTTGGGATTTACTTTGGAATCAAGTGATGAATGCAAATGATACTTGTCATATCGTTGGTGAACGCATAAAAGGTTTCGATATAGATTTTAAAGATACCTCAACTCATATAGTTTTTGACGTACGTGTTTATTTAAATTAAGAATGTAACAAATTTGTTGTATTGTTGAATTTTAACACATATACATTTGATAGTTTAATCGCAGTAAGGAGTTTCCGGCAGAATTCTTCATCCTCGCTCTTGAACATTTAGTTGTATTTCTTTACATTTCACTTTCTCTTGGACGACTTAATTCTGTAAAGTCAAAATTTGGTTTGGCATTTTCAACCGTGGTCCAAGTATTTGTCTCTTTCGTCATCTCACTTAGCGTTTGTTCTCTCTTTGGTGTCACATTAACGCTTGTATCTTGGTAATTTTCATGATTCCTTTTTACTTTTTTTCCCTTTTTTTTGTTATTTTTATTTTTATTTTAAAAATTTTTTTTAATAATCTTTATCCTTTTTTTCATAGGCCTTTTGTTCTTGTAATTGTTGGCGTTGAGAACATGTTTGTTTTGACTAATGCCGTTACCTCGACTTCAATGGAATTGGATGTTAAAGAGCGTGTTGGAAAAGGTCTTGAAAAAGTTGGAGTCTCAATGACAAAAGCTTTATTTTCTAAAATATTATTGGTGGCGTTGATTTGTTCAGTGACAAATATTAATTCCGTTCAAGAATTTTGTATTTTCACATCTGTTGCAATGATTGTTGATTATCTTCTTCAGATGTCATTTTTCATCACCACATTATCTATCGATCTTCGAAGATTAGAGGTATTTTAATATTTAGATTTATGATTTTAACATGGCATTCGTTATTTCTTGTCTTATTAACATTCATTTGTATAATATTTCAAAAAAACGTATTATTTTTACACAAATTATTTAAATTTTTGGTTTTTAAAAATAAAATAATAATATAGATTTCTGATTTATATAATCGAAGAGTTAGTACACCTTTGACACCTACCAAGACCCTTAAAAGCCGTAATGCTAATGGCGCGGAAAGGGAAACACTTATGAAATCCTCCAATCACTTTAGCAATGGGAGAATCGCTATTTCTTTGTTAGTAAGTTAATAATATTATTGCATATATATATTTATTTATGTATATATATAACGCTCAGGATAAAAATCTTTTTTTTTTTTTTTTTTTTAAGGCTCTTATTCTCATGGCATCAGCGACAAGTTTATATCAGGAAAATGGAGATTTGACAAGTATTTTATCCTCAATTAAAAATATGATGGTCGGTTCAAATCAGAGTGCTTTCGAAAACAATGTTACCACCAATACTTTTTATGAAACTCCGACTGCTGTATATGCTGAAGCTTTCTGGAATGTTGTAAATCCGAAAAGAATAAATCGGTATTTTGAAATTAGAAATCCAAGAAAATTAACACTTTTGTGGACGTTGAAACAAATAAATCATTTAGTAGAGTCAGAAAATCCAACAGAATCGACTGAATTATTAGGATGGAAATTACTTATTAGATCAATGATCAAAAATTTTGTATTCGGTTTGAAGTTTATCATCCTTCCCGCGTTTGGAATTTTTCATGCGACTTCTTCCTTGGTGCGTCGTTTGGTATCTTCAGATCAAATTGATAAAGGCGAAACTTCTAATGGTGGTAATAATGCGAACAAGATTCCTTCATTGGCCAGAGTTGTTACTCTGCGCGGTCGTCATTCTGCTGATGTTAGCTTGCTTTGTGCTAACCCTAATGGTATGATTATTTCAACTGCTACGGATAAACATATCACTTCATGGGATGGAAAACAAGGTAATTCAATGAAAAAGCTCGAGAGATATATGCGTAAATGCGACTCATGTAAGTGTGGTATCACCGGAGGAATGAAAAAATGTATATCGTGGCCTGTTAGGGCCATGTGTATGAGTGAAAAGGTTGAACTTGCTGCTGCTGGATTTGAAGATGGTGTTGTGAGAGTTTGGGATATTAATTCTGGACAGGCGACGTATATTTTAAAGGACACTGTCGAAGATGTAGAATCAGTTATGTCTGCGGTGAGCGGAAATACAGCGAAAGAACGAGTTACATGTTTACAATTTGTCGTTCCGACATCTTCATCTTCAATACCACAGACACCTACTTATGAACTAAATTATATGAATTTCACGACCAGACCAATATCAATCCAGCAAGCCCCGTCTATTCTACTTGCTACTTATCGTAATGGTTATTTCCGGGAGTGGGATTTAGTTTCGGGACAGATTGTTCATACAATAGCCACTAATCAGAAAGGTGGCATAAATTATCTGTGTGTTGTAGACGATGGTGAATTAGACTATAATCAAGATGACTTGTATATTTTCACGGGTGCACGTGATGGATCTGTTAAATGTTGGGTTCGGAAAGTTTATTATCCTGAGAATGAATCAAATATTACTATTAATCCTTATGGTGTTCTCAAGAGTCGATGGAAGTCAATTTACACAATACCTGGTGAACCAGGAAATGCTATAACGTGTATAGCTACTAAGGTGGTAAAAACTGTGAACAACACTTATGGGGTGGTTATTACGGGTGCGTTAGATGGAGAAGTGAGAGTTTACGATTACATTAATGGTAAGCCTATAGCTATATTAAGTCGAGGTACAATATCTAAGCAAAGACGTGAAAAAGAAAGAGAGCAACAATTATTACAAAAAAGGTTATTAATTCATCAACAAAAACAAATGAGACAATTTGAAATGCAAACAAGTAATATGTATAATAATAATAATAATAGTAGTAATAATAATTCCTCATCCTCTGATTCAGATTTTTTTGATGATGAATTTGATGATTATGAGTATGATGAAACTGAAGATACAGATGACGAGGAGGATGATTTATCACATAAAGATTCAATTATCAGTATCGTAATCAATTTACTAAAACAAGAAAGTTGCCCTTGTGGTAATACAGAATATGGAGGGTTTTCAATAGTCACCTCCTCTGCTGACGAAAAAGTGCACGTATGGCATTTAGTTAGAAATGTTATGGATTGTACATGTATGGCATTACGGGTAGAAAATAATTTACAAAATAATGTTACAAATAATGCGCCTGTTGGGCTCCTTCAACAAAAAGATGTAGCTGAATGGGATGGTGTCGTCTCTTATCATTCTAAATTTATTGGAAGAGTTTGCCAACCTGGCGGAACAGCAATTGTATTATTAAGAGATAATATAGTTGGAGTAAGGAAGGTTAAACATTCATTAGCATCAAAACATGGTATACCAAGATGTCATGGAGCAGAAGGAGAATGGGAAATGTGGATGTTGGAAATTAATGACCCAAGGGTTATTGAATCTACTCAAGATGGGCAAGAGAATTCCGACAACGAAGTTGATGTTGTTGAATTATTAGTGCGAACTATTCCTTTAGTTAGTGAATCAGATTTATTTACTGAACAACAACAAAAAAAGAAAAAAGAAGCACTTAAACGAAGAGATAAAGAAAGTACCGGAGAATTAACGGGATTTGTCAGAAGAAGAAGAAACCATACCACAGTTAATAAAGTGGTCGGACCAAATTTTGGACCTACCTTCCCGATATCGTTACCTTCAAACATGCATCAACATGATCATCATGATCATGATCATCATCATGATGATCATGAAATAGAAGATACACAAGGTCAAGTAGTTGATTATCGACAAAAAAGTCAAAGACGACGTGGTAGCGTATTACATCGAGTATATCCAAATAATGTAAATAATGAAAGACCATTATCATTGTTAGAAGAGGAAGATGAAATGAATGAAATTTTGCCTTTTGTTCATGTTAGGCAAGTAGTTAAAATTGGTGATTATGGTGTTGCGGCTGCGTATGGTAATTTTGTTAAAGTAGTTTTATTTGAAGAATCAGGTGATTATGAAATCGGTAATTTATAGTTATATAATATAGTATTTTTCTCAAATAATATGCATACACATACCAAAAGAGGAAAAAAGAAAAAAATATATATCAAAAATAAAGTCCCCGATATACATACATATTTGAAACCCTTTTTTTTTTTTTTTTTTTTTAATTATTATTATTATTATTATTTTCCTGAATTTTGAAAACAATTTTTGTAAATATATAGAATCATTTTTTTTTTTTTTCAATTAAATATTAAACAAATTTATAATAAAAAATTCACGTATTTTATCTTGTAATTTATATTGAATCTCCCTCCTGTTTAAGGTTTACTGTTTAAGTTAGAAATTAAAGTCTTTTTTAAGTTTGAAAAATTCACTTTTCTTTAGTGAAAACATTAATTGATGTTCACCATTATTGTAGATTATAACTACTTTCTTGTAACAATATTTACAACAATATTTTTATGCCGCGTTATTGAAAATCAATTTATATTAGGCGGTCTGCTATTACCGCGCCCATTACCACCACGAGCATTACTGCTTGCCGCTTCTTTAGTTCTGGTTTTCTTTCTAACAGCAAGTGGAACATCTTCGGAATCACTATCATCAATTTGATCTAAAATCTTCTTCGAACCAGCTGATGATGATCCAGCCATTGTACTTGAAGAAGATCCACCTCTCACTTGTTGTGTACTAGTGGCTGTGGGAGTCCGGTTCACTTTAGTTGTTGTGGGTTTCTTCTTCTTTGATTCCTTCTTTTCGGCTACTTTCTTTGCTTCGGCTCTTTGAGCCGCTGCTTCAGCTGCTCTTTTTTCACGTTCTGCTTTCTTTTCGGCTTCCGCTTGAAGCTTCTTTAATCTTTTTTCTTCCGCTTCGGCTTTTTTCTTTGCCTCACGTTGTTCTTGCTTTATACGTTTTTGCTCCTCTCTTTCTTGTTGAGCTTTTAGGCGTTCTTCTATTCTGATTCGTTTAGCCTTTTCTTTCTCTTCTGCAATGGCGGCATCCCTCTCTCTCTTGCGCTTCTTCTCTAAAAGAGCAGCCGCGTTCTGTGCCGCAGTCTTAGGTGGCTGTCTCTTAGGTTGTGGGGGAATCTTACCAGTGGGGGGAACCTTTGGTCTTTGATTCCTTTGTTTCGGTGGCAGAAACTCATCCTAATATCAAGTAATGAGACCATAAATTTTATAAAGAATACCAATTTATATTAAAGAACCGGATCAAGGAAATGAATACGTGATTACTTACATCAATTAATTTACCGCTCTGATCTTCCAATCGATTGCGGAAATACTCGGTAAGCAGCCCAATTTGTTTATCGGGATCGATGGGCGCAAATGGTGGAGGAGGAGTATACCGAGACTCTATATGTTTAATCAATAATTGATTATAAAGCCAACTTAAAAGAATTCCCTCCCTATCCAACTTACTTCTTTGGTTTTGATCTGGTGTCTTTTTCTGAGCGGGCTTAATTTTATTAGTTCCAAGCAACAACCTAGTAGGAACTGAAAGGTTCCCTAATCCGAGTTCCTTTAATCCAAAGAAATCGTCCCCTAATTCGATACCCTCGCCTAAATTACCAGTGATAAATACATCATCATTTTCTGGCAAATCTTCATCAGCCTCCGTATTATCAGGTTGCTGTTGTTGTGAAATAAAAAGATTAGTAATAATGAAAGGAATAAAAGTCAAACATAAATATATTTACACTCAAAGAATCCTTATAAGCTATCTCCAAACGACGTTGTATGTCTTTTAGTTTGCTGCCATACCGCTCAATGTCATCTCGAACATATGATTCAAGATCTTTAAAGGATGTCGCGCCATTCTCATACAAAGTCTTTTTAATAATTTCCTTAATAAAGTGATTAAATACATCATTAATAAAACTGAAAGCGGAACATAAACGAATTATAATAATTATTTACCTCGGGTGATTTTTTGTTAAATACATCATCCCTGTAGGCCCTCATCGTCTTTCCTAGACTTAATAAATAATCCTGGGCAACTTCAGTTAAGATATTAACGGCCATCGACGAGCCACCTACGCATAATGAAAAGATATAAACATAATAGTTAATGACTAGCTATTTAACATAAATAAAATTGATTAATATTCAAAACAATGTTAACATGCTTTCGAAGCCTGCATGTTGTAGCAATTTCACAACGACTCGTTGCATGCATGCAAACCCAGCTTCACGATTCATCACGAGTGGTGGTGAGATATTTGGGTCTATCTGTGTTCGACAATTTGTGGCTTTTTCAGTTGGCGCAGTTTCATTTACACCAAAATGACTAAGCTGTAGTTTTTTTTTAAAAAAAAAATTTGTCAATATTTACTTGAATCAGATTGACGACCAATTAACTTACCGGCAAGTTATGTTTTGCCGCTAGCAGTTTCGCGTGAAGGAGACGCGTTTGCTTGAGCGTCTCTATATTATGCTCGATCATCACAGCAGTGCCACGGTTCGAGAATTGAAGTTGCGGGTATTGATCGAGCGTTGGCCGTTTGGCCTCTTGCCTAAATAATTAATTATATTTTATTTTATGATAACGTATCAAAACAACCCAACAAAAACACACACACATATATATTATTTTACTAACTCCTTCCAGTACTCGGGATCGAACAATCTGTCACGATCAGGGTTATCTATTTCTGGATCCCACAACTCCTGTGAAAGAGGGGCATCCCACCCCTTTAGCATTTCTTGCAATTCCCTGTCACACTCATCTTCATTAATTTCATCAGAACAGACAACAGGAAATTGCGGAGTTTCTGTTGAGACTTGCTCTTGGATTAGATATGGCTGTTCTTTCATTTCGGGCTCTATATTTAACATTAGTAGAAATGAAAAAAAATTATAACGTAAATCTATAAAATTATTTATAATTAATTAAAGATATTACTTTCTTCTGCGGCAATTTCTTGCTGCACTTGTGCAACGATTTCCGCGGCATCTGCGGCGGTCTTCTTCATCATTTCCTCTTCCGCTTTCTTTTTCATTTCCTCATTATACTTTTCTCGAGTTTTAATGACAATATCAGGAACGTTCTTGAGTAATTCATCAGTTTTTATTTTCATAGCATTGGCACATTTCCTATAGTAATTATCCTGATAAATAGAAAAAGGAAATTAAATTTTGCCCGCGGAGAAAATAAAGAGACAGGTGTTATTAAAGAACTTGCTGGATCTGTGTTGTAGAGGAGGCAGTTGTCATAGATTAGATATAGATCATCAGCAAACTCTTTTTTGGAGTTGTATTGTCCACTCTTGAAGTTTTTTGACACTTGACTCAGATCCATTGGACGTTTGATTACTAAAGTTTTTATAAAAAGGTTATGTTGTCCATAATAACTGAATAAAAGAAGCGATGAATATAAAAAAATATATATATATTTACTTTTATTGTAGTCCGGTGCCTCTTTAGATGAGACTTTTTTCAGGAACGGCGATGAATACTCCTGTAATGATTATTATATTAAAAAAAATGTGTCACGCGTAGTTCTCGTCTCAGTAACAACTTAATAACTTACTGAATATGATTTCAATGCGTTTAAAACACTATCTATCGCCTCATATAATTCAGCGCGACCTACAAGATTTGGGTCGGCCTTCAAAAGTTAAAAAGGTTAAAGAACGTTGAAATTTCTATAATTTATTTTTTCATATAACAAATGATGATGATAATAGTAATAAAAAAACATACATATTTTGAACCCAAACTTCTGATTTCAGTTAAAGTACTAACTATCTCCTCGTCCATCATCCTACTTGCGCCCCGATTTTTCTCGATAGCTTCCACTAAATACTGAATCAGAATTGTAAATAACATTCTTAAATAAACAAACAAAGTACCTACATAAAACTTACGCGCATCTTTGGGTCAGATTTCAAGAATTGCTATAAAAATGAACAAAACAAAAGAATGGAAACAAATAAGTGACCATTTAATGCAAAAAATAAGTTCATTTATTTGAATGAAACTTACCAACCCGCTTATCTTTGAATTTGAAGCTCGTTCTTGACTATTCATATTGCTTTCAATAAACTAGCTCTAGAGTTTTGTAATAGAACAACACTAAAATTTATAAAGATCCCTTGAGTAATTTTTATTAAAACGCTTCGTCCTTGTTAAAATGAGTTGAAAATGAATTGCAACACTTTTATGCGAGTGTGACTGTGTCACTGATCCAATTTACCCAATCAGAATCCGTACAACCTTAGCAATTGACGCAACAGTCCTGCGTCGAGTTTTCAAATTTTTGATTGGACCGATTATAGCCATACACATGCATCAATCATGTGGGATAGATGTGAGCGCAAAAATAAAATTTCCCAAGACTCGTCGGATGTTATATGAACTTACACCCATTCAAAAATAACTGGTAAGTGTTTTCTCATCATCTTTGGTAGTGGTATAAAATTCCTCAATTTAGTTAGTCAATTGCAAGATTGCCTTCTGGAACACTATAACCTGCAACGCTGGCTTCGGAAAACAAGCCACTCTCCCCTCGCCTCTGTCTATATCACTGGTCGCCAAACAACGGATCAAACCCGAAACTGATTTTATTTCATAATGTCGAACTCTGAAAGTACTGAATGCACTACTTTCGAGACACATACTGCTCAACAACTTTTAAAAGTTCATGAAGAGCATGAAGAAACCCATACTCAAAATGAAGTCACAACAAAAACTGATTATCCGTCTATTACCAAAAATCCCGATTTAACGTCTGCATCATATGATACGAATTTTCCTTCTTTATCGGCATCAACCGTCACAAATACAAAACCCTCTTCAGCATGGGGTACTAAGTCTGGTGTTGCTGCTGTTCGCTCAGGAGTAGCTCTAGGCTCCGTTGGCGAATATCAAAAATCAGCAGCTGATGAAGGAGCGACTCTCATGTCAACAACCCATCATCCATCGGTTAAAAAACCAATCTTTGTGACAGAAATTCTTGAATTGCCTGCCTCCCAACAGTTGCAAAATCAACAGTTGCAAAAGAAAGAGTTCGGTAATAAAATCACAACCGTCGACGTTGTTAAGCGCGTTAAAGATAAGACTAACACACATATTGAAGTCTCGACAGGACATAAAACTGGTAATACAACTTTTATAATCAAAGGGAAACACGAAAATGTTATGAGAGCCAAACGTGACTTGCTTGACAATTTGGCTATTAAGGTTAGCTTTTAATGTGTTATATTCAAATGATTAATTAAAGGCTTATCTGAATTTTAAATTATGTTATTTTATAGAGCGAAAAAATTATTCAAGTTCCAATTTCCGTTCGACGCCACATTCTTGGAACTCGTGGTCAAACTTTACAATCAATTACTACTAAAACTGGTGTTAGAATTCAGCTTCCTCCTCGCCAAGAAAACCATATTGAAGAAAGAATTGAACTTGATTATGATGCTGAAGAAGAAATGATGGACGTTAAATTGGAAGGTGATGCGAAAGGTATTAGCTTAGCCATAGAAGAAATAGAAGCCATTGTAATAAATAACAGGGTAACGTAATATTATTTAATAATCACAAAGATAACCTTTTTCATTCATTATTATTTATTCATATATCTAATATTTGTTTTGCTTTTTTAAGTCGACAAAGCGAACTCATAAAATTACTAATATCGAGCACCATTATTATCCACTTATTTCGGGTGCTCATAATTCGCGTATAATTCAAATCAGTCACGAAACTGGTGCTAAAATTAACGTTCCTCCTTACTTTGCTTCTACGGAATCAACTGAAAGTCATGAACATTCTTCAAGGGATGCCATTGTTATTTACGGAGAAAGAGAGGCTATTAAAAGGGCATCAGATAAAATTGAAGAAATTTACGAGGAATTGGTAAGCTGTACATTTATTATTACCTCTGAATTTTTTATACAAAAAAAGTTTTTACTTACTTTTTTTTTTATTTAAAAAAAAAAATTTAATGAATCATCTAATTAGAAAAGTAATACTACTACTGTGGAAGCTAACATTCCAAAACGTCAACATAAATTTCTAATTGGACAAAAAGGATCTAACCTTCAGGAGATTCTCGAAAAAACCGGTTGTTCATTGGAACTCGCACCACCATCAGACCCTTCTGAAAAAGTTATAATCCGAGGGCCACAGAATCAAGTTATTGCAGCATTGCAAGCCGTATACGATAAAGCCAATTCAATTCATGTTAAAACTTTGGACATTTCTCATCTTCACAAGGCCGATCAACCATTGGAACATGCTAAAAATATATTAAAGTATTTGTGGAATAGAAATAAGTTGAAAAAGATTGAAAGCGATACAGGCATTCAAATCATTGTACCAAAAGGACCTTTAGTTGTTTTAGAATTCGTTGGTAAGGTTTCTAAAGAAGTGGAAAATGCACAAACAGAAGTGGACAAGGAAGTGGAGCATGCACGAAAAGAAGTTCGTGAAATAGTTAAGGATTTGGTAAGCGTTATTCTTTTAAAGTATAAATTTTCTTTTAGTTTTTTCTATTAATCATATATTGTATTAAATTACAAAGTATATGATGATTAGGATTATTTGAATTCAGTTTATAATGTTACTTTCTGTAGTCTCCAAATTGTTTCGCGATTGCGTCTATCGAACCTCATTTGCATCGACATATAATTGGTCGTAAAGGGCAAAATCTCCAACGAGTAAAAGATACATATGGTGTTGAGATCATTGTTCCTGACGAAAAAGATGATAGTCCGGATATATTGATTGTCTTCGAGGGAAAGCGTGAAGAAATTCCTTCCGATAAGAAAGAAAAGGAGGCTTATATTAAAGATGTTTTAGAACAAGCTAAAGCCGAACTAATAAAAGCGGGTCAGGATGCTGTAAGTACATTTAATTTCTAAGCAATGTTATTTATTGCGGCAAACGTTACATATTTTTGTTGGGGACAATACTATAATTGTGGTTTAAGATTGTAAATGCAAATTAGATGTCAAGTCAAATTAATAAGAGTGCAAAATATATATTTTATTATAATATGAAAACGAAAAAAAAATTTCTATAGTCGGATTTTGCTACACAAACTCTCACGATCCCAGTACGTTTCCATCGATATATTATCGGACCAAAAGGTAGCACGCTTAATGGAATTACCGGAGGCATTGATGCACCTGTTTCTGTTAAATTTGGATCATCTCGAACTGGTGCAGCTGAACGTTCAGCTAACGCTGAAGGTAAAAGGCTTGTGAATGTGCCGATTTCTGATGATATCGTTATTATTAAAGGTCCAACTGATGAAGTTGAAAGAGTTGTAAATCAAATTAATCATGTAGTCGAAAATGCTAAACATGTCGAGGTAAATAATATTCTTTTATCTTCATTCAAGTTCAACTATTTTAGTAAATGATTTTCATTTTAATTACGTTAGATCATGAAATCTTATACCGAGGAATTCACCTTCCCTGCTCAATTTTCAGCTCATGTCATTGGTAAAGGCGGTGCGCATGTAAACCGCCTTAAGGAAAATTTAAATGTTAGAATTGATATCGAAGGTGGCCCCAAAGGGGAAGAAAAAAAAACCAATCCGAGCGAAAACGTTAAAGTTACTATTACAGGAGTGAAGTGCAATGTGGAAGAGGCCAAATTAAAAATAATGGATTTGATAGATAAATTGCAAGATGCTACTGTAGTCCCCTTAATAGTTCCTGCCGAATACCATAGGTCATTGATTGGCACAAAAGGTCGTTATGTGAAACGTCTCGAAGAAAAATATGGAGTACAAATTCGTTTCCCAAGAATTAATGGAGAATATGAAGAAGATACATGTGCTCAAAACCCTGACGAAGTTATTATAAAAGGTGGGAAAAGGGGAGTACATGATGCAAAGGCAGAATTGTTGGAATTACTAGATTATGAAAGAGATCATGATCATTCTATTAACTTCAAAATTCCTGCTAAATATCTCCCCCATATTGTCGGTAAAAGCGGTTCTAGAATATCAGAAATCAAGACATCTACCTTTACACGTATTGATCTAGGTCATCCAGAAATTCCGGAAGACGGTTCAGAACAACAAGTAGTAAATGTTGTTATTCACGGAACCAAGTCTGATATTTGCGACGCTCAAGAAAAAATTCTTAATATTGTAAAGGAACTTGAAGATCAGATTACTATTACTATGCATATAGATCCTCAACATCACAAATACTTAATTGGTTCACGTGGAAGCCGTATTCGTGAAATTGTTGCAAATGCAAGTGAAATGGAAGAAACAAGTGGCCATGCTAGTATTGTAAAGTTCCCTCGCTATGGTGATAACAGTGATGAAGTGATTCTCAAAGGAGAGAAAAGTCTCGTTGAAAAAGTTAAAACTGAGTTGGAAAGATTAGTTGAAGAACAAAGTAATTTAAAAGTTGGCATGGTACAAATTCCACGTACTCAGTACTCCATATTAATCGGTCGTAATGCTAGTCAACTCAAAGAACTTCAAACTCGCTATGATGTCGAAATTCAATTTCCCGGTTCACGATCATACTATGAAACTCCTACTGCGGAAATTTTGTGTAATGAAGTTGAAAATAGTGAAGAAGCGGTCAAAATTATTGGTAAAGCGGAAAATATTGAAGCCGCTAAAGTCGATATTTTATCTAGGATAAGATATACTCATATTGTGAATGTACCTCGTAAATTTCACAATTCTATTCTTACACATGTACGAAAACTTCGAAACGAATTTAATGTCATTGTCGATCATGGCGAAGTAACGCCTGAAAAAATTGATTCTCAACCTAAGAAACCTAACGGAAATATGGTATCAACAAAAAGAATTGATGATGAAGAAAATCCTCAAGAAAACGATGGAGAATTAAAGTGTGAAATTGTTGAAAATGAAGAAGTATATGGGGAGATTCCTTGGAGTTTGAAAGGGGAGAAATCGCAAGTCGAAAAGGCAGAGTTATATATAAAAGAGTTATTGGAAGGATCGGTAAGATCTTGCAAGTTGCATGATAATTTCTTTCGAAATTCTAATTATAAATGTATATATTTATTTAAAACAGGTTAACTTTACTCAT